GTCAATTCGAACCAAAACAGTACATACCAGTCAACCTTGCGGCTGGAGCCTCCACCGCAACCTTTGGTTCTGGTTCTTTCGGCCCTAACCTTGCGGCCGCAAGGTTCGACGTAGCTTTGATTTTTTTCGGTTTTCTTCACAGTTTTGATGCATGGGTCCATTTAGGGCATAGAGTTAAGTATAAAAATACTAAATATACTTAGAGGAGTGGTTGAGAGAGATTATAATACCTTGAATCGGATCGAATTGATTTTAATTCGAAACTTGGAATTTGGAGAAGACAACTTCTGGTTTTTCGATCGGGGAACCTTGGGATCAAATTGGATGACATTTGGTGATGCTAGGAGTTGTAGGAAGGGTTTGGAATGATCGAATTGAATTTTGGTTGGGTCTTGATACAAAACCCACTTTGCTCTCTCTTACTTTCTCTCTCTAAAACTCCATGGATTGGAGTTTCGTTTTCTCTGACTTTTCTCCCTTTTCTGGACTGGTGGAGCGTGGGGAATATTGTGGTATGCCTTAGGGTCGGATTAATGGGGTATATATAGGAGAATTTTAAAGAGGTTGATAAAATTCAGTTTAATAAGGACTCCAACTCTTGGGCTTTGAGATGAACTAAAATAAGGGCGAAGATATGATCAGGGATGAAGTAGAGACTGAGTAGGAGAGGGAGAGATAGCAGGATTTGTATGCATGCAATTAAAAAAATAAAAGTAAGATAATTAAGATTAAGTTAATTTTATTTGTATATATCTACTAGATAATTATGATTAAAATAATTCTTTTATTACGAATAATACTCTTTAAATAATATTATAAATGATAAAAATTACGGGTTGTTACAGTGATGAGGTTGTATTAGTGATTTGTTGGGTTTATCAAGCTGAAGGTTTTCTTTTTCCTTTTCTTTTTTTTTTTCTTTTTATTGGCATCTTGCCATCTTATTTAGTTCTTGAATTTATTTTTGGAAAAATTTTAAAATGACACATGACCTTTGCACCAAATGTCACAAAGACACCTGAACTTAAGTTTATTTCAATTAAACACCTGTACTAATAAAATTTCCAAATTTAAACCCCCGCCGTTATACTCTGTCCACTCCGTTCCAAAAATTTTTGACATTACATCTTGAATTCGCTTAAGTTGCCCCATTGCACATGTTTCCAACAAGGGATGATGCACCCAAGCAAAATCCATCACTCGAAGTCAGCCGAGCAGAAAGAAGAACTGGGTTTGGACAAAAAAACATGGTTTGGAGGGAAAATGACCTTAACCTAATTGATTTATCTCCATTTCTCTCGTTAGAAGTCTGCCTATTGTTCCACCATCACCCTCACTTCAACCCTAGACCTGAAGCCCTTCCTCCTCCCTTGTTCAACAGATGATGAAGAGAACTGAGGGCCAATTCGGCTTTAAAAGTGAAATAGTGAATTATTTTGTCTTTATTCAAAAAAAATTCGCATTTGTTAGTTTTGCGTCAAATTTTTGTGACTTATTGATTCTTCTCGACGAAAGGAATAGGAAAAGTAAGATTTTTTTGTTACGCCCTCGATAATTTTTTAAAAAAAGACAAAAATAAGTAAAATAAATTAAGTTTTGATCAAAAAATTTTACTTCTCCAATTTTTCTCGTCAATACGAATTAATAAGTTATAAAAATTGGTGTAAAACAAACAAATGCAAATTTTTTTTTGAATAAAGACAAAATAATAAGTTACTTAACTTTTCAATCCAAAAATGCATGTGGATTTCGCTTGGGTGCATCGTCCCCTGTTGGAAACATGTGCAATGGAGCAACTTAAACGGGTTAGAGATGCCATGTCAGCAATTTTTGGGACTGAGTGGACAGAGTATAACGGCGGGGGTATAAATTTGAAAATTTTGTTAGTATATGTGTTTAATTGAAATAAACTTAAGTTCAGGTCTCTGTGACATTTGATGCAAAGTTTAGATGCCATTTTGAAAATTTCCTGTTTTTTTTCCCCTCCTTTCTTCCGATGTTAAAAAAACAGAGGTGGCTAAGGGGTAGATTTAGTGGGTTTTTACTAAATAGTCAAGTTATTCCCACTAAATGATATTTTATTAAAAATGACTTATCTTGAAATCCGTGAAAAATCAACTTTAGTCCATTTGTCGATTGGAGAAACTCACCCTCATGGGCGGCTCCACCTGCAAATTAATGAGGGGGTTCATTGGGCTGAAAAAATGCGCGAAAATTTCATACTGTATTCTTTACATATAATTTGATCTTCCTCTTATATTGTCAACACTGAATTATTCATAAGTAGCCAAAGAAAAAAACTTCACTTAATTTTGTGAGTATGCAAATAATATAGCTAAAAAAAATTAGGCAGAATAATTTTCAGTCAATGTAACAATATTTATTTTATATAGAGATTTCTATACAAAAAATTTCTTTAAGTTTTTATCACCACTGGACTAAAATCCTAAAGCCACCCCTGCGCACCCTTAGTTTTTTGCGAGTGGTGCAGCACTAGAAAAGCCTGTTATTCATTTCAAAGCTATCTCATGGATTTCTATTAATCTGCACTCGATTTTACTTTTTAATCTTTCACGACGAATAAATTTTTCTTTGCCATGGCCTTTAGAAAAAAAAAAAAAAAAAACGGTGAAGGCTCGAATGATGTTTGTCTCGAGAGAAAGTCAAACATTGACGACTCATTTCTCGTACGACAAATATCATTTTCATATTGATGAAAAATTCGATCAAATTGATTTTTGAACAGATGAATTACTTATTTGAGATTTACAAAATGAACAAGTTAAATCAGCAAATTAAACCGTAGTGTCTCTCATTTTGCTGCATTATGCATCGAATCATATCTAATACGTACGCTCTCCCAATTGCGATATTCAATTGATGCGCTTAATGTATGTCTCACAAATATGTGACTTTGAAAAGGTGTATTAGGGCATTGAATAAAGTTTCAATTCCGATTCCAAAAGATCAACTAAATGAACATGCGGAACGAGTAGCAAAACCATGGCCATCGCCGGCCTTGAGCTAAACCTCAAGGTGCCGGCACTTTAAATTCAATTTTTTTTTGTTATTTTTAAAATTCCCTTTTATATTGATATTCCTAATAAAAGTCCATTCAAAATATGTATATTTTACTATTGCTGCTATAGTTTTTTTTTTTTTTTTGATAGACAACAAAATTTTATTAAGAACTTGACAAAGGACTATTGCTGCTAGACGGCATCCGTAAATTAAAAGTGTGACTTTGTTTCATTGGATTTCCTTTCCTTTTCTGTTTTTGCTCTGTTTCATCCAATGATGTATTGTATGTTTTGTTGATCCAAAAAAAATGTATTGGATGTTTTTGCCATTTCTTTGGTTTTAGCCTCTGCCCATGATTTCGCTTGGATCTGGGCGCCAACATAATATAGTTGGGATGCTTTCTATTAGCTATACGCTAAAGCTTTAACCCTCCTCGATGTACCCTCTTATCAAGTTATCAATAACTTTCCTTTAAGAATAAAAAATTATGTCACAAGAAAAGTTGAATAACTAGGCTATACATGAAATTGTGAAAAGATGGATTATGTGTGCATAATTAGATTTTTTTTTCCTGCTAAATTGTACAAGGGTGATATTTATGTTTTAAAAATCTTGTGACGTGCGGTTATTTTTTTGATTTATTAATATCTAAGTGCTGCTTTTGAAATCTTATATTAATGTTCGGTATTACTACTATAGAATTTTCCTCGTTGATGATGAGTACTTGTGTTGGGTTTAAAAATGTGACTTATCTAGTTTATACTGTAATTTATTTGCAAAAATTCAAATAGGGTCCCATTTTGTATTTCCATTGTAGGCTTCTAGAAAATAAGAGCCGACCCTGATGGCCGACGTACCAAAAATATATATCTCAGGCTATATATCGCAATCCATGACAACGTCCTTCTGCACTTGGATTGTTATCAAGCGAAACATGGGTCAATATTCATATTAGTATATTTTACTTATTATTGTTGCAGTTACGAGGGGATTGGTAATGACATAGGATTAGGGATAGAAATTCATAATGAATAGTTTTCATAAGGGAGGTGTTTTTTTTTTTTTTTTTTAATTTTATAGGCAGCAAAATTTATTAGAACTTGACAAAGCATACATCGAGGAGGCCAAAACTCCAGATACAAAAAGACCTTGGTGCTAAAGAAGGCCAAAAGAAAGAAAGAAAGAAAGGAAAGGAAAAATACATCCGGCCAATGAGACATTGAAAAAACCACAGTAAAGAGTGGAATCATCACAGCATATTGCGCAGCTTGAAATTGTGCTGATTACGTGTACTTGGACAAAATTTTTAAGACCGTATATTCAGGTAACTACGAATAACATCCAGTGACTCTAACACTTTTTATTGACGTACAGTAAGAGATCTTCTTGCGAGCTAGGCCTAAATGCTTTGAGATTTACTACTAGTAGTATCTAAGGTCTTAGTTTGCACCGTGGTTATACAAAAGCACTTTTGAAATCTAGACACAATTTACAATATCAATTTTATTATCAAGCAAGAAATAGTAAGAAAGCTTCTACACTCTATCAATGACATGTTTTTCTTTTTTGTAAATCAGACTTACATTTTCTTTATTTCTTTTTTCTTTTTTCAATCTAATCAAGGAACTAAGGGAATTAAGTAGATAGCGATCATCGTGTAATTTATTCGTTCTTCTATTCTAGTACATAAAAAGGGATAGGCAATTGGCGTGAATGGATTTTTGAAGCCCGATCATCTTTTGTATCTCCTTTTTTTTTTTTTTTTTAAATAATCTTATGTTATCTCCTTTTGCGATTCTCTTATATGTACATCCTCATAACTTAATAATCCGTATGATGTTGAGAGGGAGAGGTCAAAGGTGATCGATTGCAAGCAGGGCTGGCCCAATGTATTTGGATGCCCTAGGCCAAATGGTGGAATAGTGTCCCAATTTGTGTGATAGGAGAATTTTTTTTTGGCAAAAAGACCTACAAAAAAGTACTCTACTAGGATTTGAACCTAGGCATCTTATGTGAAAAAACAAACATTTTACCATTGAACCACCAAAGGAATTTGTATTATAGTTGCACACAGAAAATATATATACTTATCTAGAAAATGGTGCCCCATTTTTGGCCCAAAATGTGGAGGCCCAAGGCAGCGGCCTCTTGGGCCTTCCCATTGGGCCGGCCCTGATCGCAAGTTAGTCTAATCATAGCTAGTTTGGTGGAGGAGGCATAAGAGTATTTAGATGGATTTTTTTTCCCCTTAAAAAATCAGCACTTGAATATGAATAGAAATTGCATTTGGGCAATTCCCACTCTAGTATTAACACGCAAAATATCGGTTGTGTTTAAACCTATTGCTAGTGATTCGCATTTGCTTGATAGAAGATATTTATTTATTGCATTTTAGAACAACATTGGTAAAATATTTGTATTATTTCCCACATTGTAATTTTTAGAGCAATGTAGGCTTGTAATCAAGTGGGACATTAGAGTAGTTAAATATTATTGCAATTCCTAAATATCTATCTGGGATTTACGTATTCTCAGTCATGTGGCTTATGGGTCGGTAGCAAATTCAATGCAAAGAAAGTAATTTGGTTCAAATGGAGACAACCTTGCACATATATACTAGAAATTGGTGACAATGATAAGCACCCAATAATGCATATTCTTGGTGCTTAAGTCCTCTAGCATGTTGTGTTTATACTTATATATTGTCGTTTTTATGCGATGTTGCACGTAAGGTGTGCTTTTAGTAGTTTCAGGTAAAACGTGCAAATAAGGCACGTTTGAAGGCCAAGGAATGCTCCGAAAGCTTCTAAGTACCCGAAGACCCTGTCGGTCCCCTAAAATCTGTCTAAGTATGGAAAAATGACTTTCTGAAAAAGTTTCGAGTTTCGAGATGAAAAATGGCGGTAATTGATCATTGAATTTTTCTAAGAGTAACTACAAAGTTACAAGGTTTTATTTGAAGAGCAAGGTCATGTTTTGAGCCATTTTATCTTGAGAAAAACGTGCAATTTTCCATTTTGTACTAAAAGTGGGGAGATGACATTTTGATTTAAATGGAATCTTGAAATTCTAGTAATGCCATTGTTTCCAAATGGGGGGTACTTTCTTATTTTCATTAAATAAATTAAAGTAAAGGAAAGGTAAAAGAAAGATTTAAAATGTAGCCTTTACTTAACTTTAGAGAATGAAAATAAGTGCTGAGAAGCTGAATAGTTGCTGGGAGCTATTTGCTGAAGCTGAAGCCAACCTGAATCTGCAATTTTTGAAGAATGTTATCGATAACATCTTCAATTGTTATCGATAACATTGGTCCCATTTTGGTCCAGAAGTTGTCCAGACCTGAGGGTATCGATAACATTTGGTTTGAGTTATCGATAACTTGCTTCTCCGGGGGAATATTTGAAGGATGTTATCGATACCTTTGCTTATGGTATCGATAACATTGGTCTCCAACAGATATTTTTACTGCTTTTTGGACTTTCCATTTATGGAATACTTGCCACTTTTGGCAAGTTCAGAGATATTTTGGTAGAGGATGAGTTGCCTTGTATAAATAGGCCCCTCTCTCTCTCTCCCTCATATAGATAGAATAGGTAGATATTTATGTTTTAAGTCTTTTTCTTTCTAGAGCTCCATTAATGGTTTTCAAGCTTTCCTAGTGTATTTCCTTCAAGAACACTTCAAGGTATTCGTCGTTTATTAATGTTGTAGATATTAGTTGGATCTTCATATAAATCAAGTTTATTTCCATTTCTATCGGTTAATCATGTTTTCCATGCTTATCTCTTTTTCTAGTCTTCTTCCTATGAGTGAGTAGTTAATTGGTTCGGTCATGGGGTGAGGTTCACTCTCTGGATTAGTCAATTAAATGGTTTCTCTTAACTTTAGCTTAATTTCAATGTTTTGAATGAATTAAACTCATGATTTCCTGCATTGATCATGGGGTCGGTGGCTTCTTCGATCAATGAAGTCTATCGCCTTGTGCTACATGCTCGATAATCCTACACGTGCGAACGATCCATTTTCGTCTCTCACTTGCGTTAAATGAGTTCAGTTTGAATTAATGCTTTGAGTTGAGTTATAAGTAGTCTTCAGTTTTTAATTCTTCAAGTGGAATCCGGACGGTTTCGGTTCACTCATGAGTTAGATGAAGGAACCGTTTTATGGCTAAGTCATGGGTAAATCAATCCTTTTGACTCGACCCTTGTTAACCTAGTTTAATTTCAAGTTCAATTCCGTTAATCAAATCAATCACCTAGTTGGCTGCTTGAAAGCCTGGTCACATACTTACTATCTAATCCAAATTCACTGAAGAAGATTTCTCTGTGGGAACGATCCCGGTCTTACCGGTTTTATATGCTTTCAACGACCTAGCCCTTTGCTCGGGTGCAAACCTTATTAGAGGATAGGTTGTGGTGGTAAGCAAATTTTGGCGCCGTTGCCGGGGAAGTCTTATTATAGCTTGTTTGGAGGTTCGACAAACCACTGTAAGTATTCCATTTTATTTTACTTTGTGCAATTCATACTTAATCTAGCGGAGACCTCTAACCGATCATCTTATCAAACTTGAGGTGTAACGAAGCTAGATTAAGTATTGATTGCCTTTTCTTTTTGTTGTCCATATAATGTGGTGGTGGCTTAACCCCACGGAACTATTTTGAGAAAAGAGGTGGCGGCATAGCCGTTCTAACTTGTTTACTTTATGTCTTATCTATCTAACAGAATGGCGGTGGCAAATGGGGAAATAGTCCCCATGACTATGTGGGAATCCCCTTATCCCTATCATGCTTATCTATCTTCTTGCATAGTTGCCCCCACCGCTCCTGCTGTTAATGTATTTAGGATACAAATGAAATTTTCTAATTTGTTGCCTCGCTTCCATGGCATGGATCACGAACACCCTTACAAACATGTTGCGGCTTTCAAGGACAAACTTGGTACCTTTGGTGCCATTGTGAAATCAGAGTCTGCATGGGTGAAATTTTTTTCTCTCTCTTTAAGGGATAATGCCAAAACTTGGCTCAATTCCTTGAACCCTCAATCTCTGCTGACGTGGGTTGATTTGCTAAATGCATTCTATAGCAAGTTCCTTCCCATTTTTTATATGTGGGTTCGTAAGAAACACATTCAAACCTTTGTTGAAAGAGAGAATGAGACATTTTATGCATGTTGGGGCCGGTACAAAGACTTGCTCAATGCGGTCTCGAATCATGGCTTTGAAAACTTCCAAATTGCTACCTATTTTTATGACGGACTTTCTCAAAAGAGTCATGCTTTCATAGATGTGTTGTGCAATGGAAAACTGTTTGATAAAGAACCCGATGAAGCCTTAGATTTCTTTGATCGGTTGGCTCAAATTTTACACTCTCGGGTTTTTGTTAAACATTGTCAAGATTCCAACTCAAATGGCATGGAAGAGGATATTGAGCCACTTGTCTTTGTTAACGCTGTTAGTTTAGATTGTGACAGCTCTTCAGAGTCTGCATGGAGTGATGAGCCTATTGATGAAATTGAGGTCCAAAGTTCTCTTATGGATTCCCCTCTTGTGATGATCCGGGGGAGAAATGCCTCACTGCCAAGGTTGTTTCTTTTGATCTTCCATATCTTGATCCTTCCCCGGAGGACTTACTCCTTGCTCATGAGATGAACTTGCTTGACTCATCGGGCGTCTACCATGAAGATCCGTTGGCAAAGCCTCTCACCGCTAAGGAAATGGATGCCGAAGTGGATTACTTGTCTTCTTTGTTGGCTAAACAGGATGCTTATGATCCAATATTTGAAGAGTTAGAGCCCATGGAAGCTACAATTGTCCCTTTGAATTCTCCGTGCCTTGATCTTCTCACCGCTAAGGAAATGGATGGCGAGGTAGATTCCTTACACTCTTTGTTAGAAAAACACAATGCATGTGAGCCTAATCTTGAGAAGTTGCCAATCATAGAACTAATAATTGATTTTCTTGGTGTTGAGGGTGTTGATTTGGTTTACAATCCTTTTATCGTAGAATTACTCAACACTTTGAAAATTGATCTAGTTTGGGCTATGCAATTGGTGGAACTTAAATTTTTGAAACGAATTCGACAATTGCTTTACTCCAAGTATCTATTTTTGTGGCATGGTCGGATTCAATTTTTGAGGCAAAGTGTGGAGTACAATACTATTTTCATTTTATTAGCTCTTGTTGGTATGACAAATGTTCGGAACCCATGTTTGGCTGAACGTACATAAACTCTTTCTTTTTCTCCCTCTCTTTTCCTTTTTCTTTTTCTCTTTTGATGGTCCGGTATAGCCACCCGTCTTTAACTCAAAGTTGTTGCATGAGTTACTCTACGACACTATGAGTTGGATATGGGGAGAAAAGTAGTACCCATGTAATCACGTGACGATTTGGTGGATTTTAATATTTGTCAATTTTTGAGCCCGGATAACACGAGCCTGGCGGTTCTAATGTCATTTGCTTCTTAGTAGGTAGTTGGTTCTTAAGTCTTTTGCAGGGTAAGCATGCTACCACACCAGCCTTGGTGGTTTAGGTCTAAAAGCAAGGGTGAGTGAGGCATTCAGGAGCCCTAAGCATGGGTGTGATTACGTGTCGCGGTTGTCAGACCAAAAAGCCCTGGCAATGACCTTGTGTGCCTAGTTGTGGTTCCGATGGAGGGGCCGAAAGAGTGAGCCATGGAAGCAGTTCCAATGACGAAGGGAAGCAATGACAAGAAAGCCTCCAACTTGGTCGAGGTATACGGGGGTTGACATTCCCCCGGAGGTACAACTTTTTGTTCTTCTCCTCTCTTTATTGTTGTTCTCCATGCTATGAGGACATAGCATCGTTTAAGTTGGGGGGAGGGATATATATACCATATATATGTTCATCATTTTTCTGCTTTTGGTTAAATTTTTAAATTTTTTGTGCAATCCTCCCTGGTTAGTAGTGATTTCGTATGTTAGATACTTTACTTATGCTCAATTGTGTCAATGGCAAGAGTCATGTATCCCCTCGAATTCGGTTATATGTTCACATCCATGTCATTTGCATATACATGAATTTTGATGAATAAG